GCACTTTAAGAGAAGACGCGTTATTTGTAGTTCTTTTAGAACACTGACTGACTTAAAAATTGTCGCCAATAGCAAAGTTGAAGGTATATTTAATGACGGCAATTTCTAATCACCCTGTGTGAAAATGCTACAAAAACCTTAGTCCAGATAATCAGCAATTTAAACTGGACATGCATTGCAACAGGCGGCGTCGACGCTACTCAGCAGTGGCAAAAAATCGGCGTCGCATCTCTTGCATCCAACGCGATATGACTCAGTTTAACGTCGCGACGCTTTGGCTGTGGATGAGGCATTTCCGTCGCCGCATTTCTGGACACTTGTTGAAATTAAAAGCGCGCCATTCTAATTCGACTTACTTATTTTAGTTTTTGTGAGACTTACTTGGATGGTAATAGTGGGTTTTGATTAAAGTGAACGAGCAGAAATATAGTAAAGGTAATTTTTTCGATAGCCGTTTTTCAATTTAAAATCAATTTTGTTTGCCGCGTGGAGGTTAGGTATCACCTAACAACATTTATAATCTACAGCATTTTAAAGCAAGTTAATCATCGGAGAAATTAAATCAAATTTGCGAGAATGCCTTAACAAAAAAATCAAATTTCTTCAAGTCAAAGTTAATAGTCACAAAGTAAATATAATCAGTATGTCCTTACAAGAAGAACTGCGTTTGAATATGCAAACCCAATGATTGACTTATCGATTAAACTGAACAGTGTTCTAACGATGAAAATTAAAATCATATTACGAACGCAAACCGGGTTTCTCAAAAAAAAAAGTTTGAAAAATTTGAACTGACGCAACCATCGCCGGAGTCAAAAACTTAATATCAGAGAAACAGTGAGTTGAAAAAAAAAGAAAAATTATGGTTTAAGACAATTAACATCGCTTTGAAGTATTTATGTTTTATCGAATATGGAGCCTTCGTACATTGAATGACTGAAAAATTGGACCAACTTCAGAAGGAATCGAACCAAGCCTGAATTCCTGAAAATAAATGCCACAAAAAAAAGTGGAAAATGCTTTCAAATTCATAGCCATGCAATCTTATCAAAATATCCGCGACACGTGTCGTAGATAATTTATTTTTGCGTCATGCAACGTTTCCTGCAATTTTTCCAGAACATACCACCAATTTTATTCAATTATCTCTACAAGTGGGATAGAACATTTTCCTAAAAATCGCGTGAAAAATAATTTTTCGAAATAGCTCCTAATTGGTGATTGTATATAATATAGTGATGTATTCGGAATTTTCTGTTGAAGATCCCTTCTTCTCCAGATATATTAACTTGGATTTTTTGGGGCTGTATAAAATATGTTATTTGTTTATTTGTTACTATTTGTATTCAATTTTAAAACATTTCGTAAACTATCCACTTAAGTCCTAAACCAACAAAGACACCTGACGAAAAATGCAAGGGTATAATAAGCTAGATGTTAAAAAGTCAAAACTCTTACTGACCTAATTAGAGAAAAATTAGTATTATAACGTTTGAAAATACGCGCTGGTAAAAGTTGGATGCTAAATGCTAAAAACCCTGTGATTAATTGAATTTATATGAACAGAAGCTTCTTGTGAACGCAGCATTGAAGTTAAACGCTTCCAGGTTGTTCAATACGTGGCAGAAATAAAAATTTTTGCAGGATCCATATGAAATTCAACTTTAGATTCAAACAGAATTTTATGAAAAAACACTTCAAACTTTATTTACATAAAACAATTGAGAAAAGTATATTACCAAATTTTGCAAACAATGGTTTCGAGAAAATTTCAAATTGCCATTTTCACCATATCATAAAACAATAGCTTTCAACATGTTCAGCATTTAATACAGTTTGATACGCAGTTTATTTCGCGTGATTTCCGGGAACCAGCTTTACACAAATTTGGAATATCTCTAAATGGTTTGGAAATTTATAAAGATTTAACACATGACGTGATTGAGCTTAAGATTATTCAACTTGATGTTATTTTTGTATATTTCTTGCAGCCTCCAAAAGGCCAAGAATAAAACTCAAAATGAACCTCTTTTCCTGCTTTATAACATTTTATATGTACCTAATTCACAAATATGACTTCGATATTTCGAAATGTTATTTTAGTTCTTTGTAGCTAAGTTTTAATTATTTAAACCGTTTTCCTTAACATTCGTATCCTTAAGGATTCTTCAAATAAACAGCAATTGAGGATTTGTGAACACTTTAAGATGCAAAGTCGCTGTTTTGTCCAATAAATACACATTTTGTGATAAAAATTTGCTTTTAAAATATTCTATGCTACAATTTTCCAATAAGTCTTTCATTGAAAAGAATATATATTTTTAATGTAAATTGGAACGCATATCGAAATCAATAACAAGCCAGTTTATTAGCGAAATTCAAATATGCGTATAACGAATTTAGGATTACAGCTAATTCTGATTTAATGTGACTGGCCAATGGCACCAATCTGGATAGTTGATATTTCCCATTTCATGAAAGCAATTAAGTGGAATGAGAATGGAATTACATTTCCGCACTTATCTGAATAGTTGCAACAGGGTGTGAAAATGGGTTTTAAATCGGACGTTCATTGCTTGCAAAATTATTATAAATTCGGACATTATGTTTCCATCAACTTAATGAGTTTAGGTGTTGGTGCTCAATTCATTTTCCATGCATTTTAGTAGATGTTTTCTCATAAACGCCGTATTGTTGAGATTAAAAAACTCGATTTATGTTTAATTTGTGCTGTATAATTTGAGATCGACGGATCTAATGATTTACAAGCCTTTAATCTTAAAATCCTGCAAGTTACTGTTTGTTATTAATCTTTTTAAGTGGCACTCACTGTCGCCCCCCTTGGATAAAACACTTATAGAATAATGTCGCTTAACATATAAGAAGATTTTCCTAAATTCAGTGATGTAAATGTGGATTTGTTCGAATTTTTTTCTGGTCGTAATACTGATGGAGTAAAACTGGCATATATGAAATATGACGAGCGCTGATATTTACTCCTGATTAAAATCCTATACAGGGTGTCCCGTAAGCTCATGATCAAAAGGCTACTGCGATATTCTTTGTTCTCTTCTAACTTTTATTAACAAAAAATGTCTGGCTCCTCTGCTATTGATTGGTCAAAGCTCTTCAAAAAAATTATATTTTTTGAAATATCGAGAGAATAGTACGATGTATTTTAGTGAAACTCGCTGTGAATTTGTTCTTATGTAAGACTCATATTTTGATGAAACAATCGAGTTCAGCCGTTTTGGACAAGTGGTGAAAACTTGAGTGTCGTGGTACAAAACTAGAACTTTTTAGTTGGAGGATTTTATCAACTCATTTTTTTTAGGTTGATGCACCAATCATTTGTTCACAATTTTGTGCTTTTTGTTGCTTACGGGACACCCTGTATGTTTTATTTTTCTGCAACTAATGGGTTCCAGAAGTAGGTGCAACTTTTTCCTAGTGCTTTTTTTGTTTGGACTTGATGTTATTTTTTAAAGTTTCAGGAAAAATATGCTTTCTTTCGGAATAAATCTCAGTCAATCCAAATGCCTACTTGAATTTTTAAATGGTATTTCCAAATAATTGGCATATATTAAATTGGGAAACTGCACGATTTCTGTTCACATCAAGATTCTAATCTCCTCATTTGAAAACGTTTTTAATGCACCATCCACAGTTCGTTAAGGGACTATGACTCTTTTGTGCTTGTAGTGGCTATCCAGTACATGCAGGATTAGCAAAAAAATGGTCAAGCTATTTGCAAATAAACAAGGGATCCACCTAGGCGGATGAGAAACATATATCAATCTCGATTAAACAGTTTTTCTGACCTGCTCACCTAAATTTTCTACGTGGAAAGTTAGACGTAGGTGGCAAAAAGTTATCCAAAGTATAATTCGGCATCTATCGGCTCACGTAGTTTCTCGTACTTGTGTTTTATCTGTGAGAGAGCGACTTGTGGACGTGGACATCTAAATCTTTAACGAGATTCTCTGCCTCCAAACACAGTAACTCGGCTCTAGYTTTTAGAATAAAGTCGAATTTTTTAAATTATTCAGGTTTCCATATTACCCGGTTTATTCCATATACGCCATCTTAAAATGGCAATAAAACAATACGAGAACAGTAGAATTTTCATTGAACCAACGTTTAGGCTATGATTTGGCCATATTCTGTGCTCTGGTCTGGTAGGTAGTACCGTTCCACTCCTGATGATGGCATAACATGCGCCTTGTTGACGGTTTTTAATTTTTTGGCATTATTTTAGTGTTGTAATTAGCAAATAAATTGGAAAACCCTCCACCTTATAAGGAAATTTTATTCAAACTATTTWAACTAGTCAACATTTAGAGTTGTTTTAAGGTCTAGTTGCATCATCAATCGAGCAAACTAATTTTTCAAAGCRATTTGATTTAATACCTAAACAAATTTACGAAAACAGTTAGAAATTAACAACCAAAACGATCAGGAAATTAATGATCCAATATTACATTAACAGTCAAGTAATAGCACGAAAATATATCACCTGTTCCCAAAATCAATGTTGATGAATAGTTGATAAGCTGACCAAGTTAAAACAATCGCCTAAATAATGGGCTTCCAGGCCTTTAATCATATAACAACATTGGCTTTGACTTTGTAAATATTATATGTAGAATTGTACACACATATACCATGCAGTCCCAGAAGGTCATGGGGTTATAATTAATTTTTCATTGAAAGGTTGAAGAATGCAAAGGGCAGCAAATATCACTTGACGCAACTGTTATGCTAATGCAATCAGCATGCTATCAGGAATATTTGCTTATTTTGCAAGGAATTTGATATGGGGGATGTATTTTTTTCATTTTACAGCTGTCGAGTGATTTATAAAGAAGTTTAGTAGCGATGGAAGCAAAACCTTATTGAAATTTGAACGTATATTTGGCTCAGGGGTCTTGTTAATACTATTAACAGATTTTCTTCCCGAGACTGACAATGTATTTTTTTCTTAATAAATTGTTTAATTAAAACAGAAGTACTTTTTTATTGAGACCAATGCGAGTAATCAATTAAGTCAAACTGTTGACTTTTAGCTAAAACTGTTATCAACAGTATCTTTGATTTTACCTTAGATTAAACAGATGCATTTGTTTGCGTTTTTCGATAGGAGCAACAATTGTTCACAGTCTATATAAAAGTAGGTACTTACTGTTTTATGAAGCCGTTTTTTTCAGTAGATCTCTGGGAGGTTTCAAGAAGGCCAATGAATAGAACAAGAGTTAAAGAAAACACTGACTTTCGTTCTGCCACTTAAGAAGTAGGAAAATACGTCAATTCACAATTGCAAAACTTCGTAATAATACAATTTCAATTGATGAAATTATGTGAATCTTTCACGGAACACTTTCATTAACTTGCCAATAAAATTACAGTTAAAAAAAGTGAAAATAATAATGCGAGGT